TACATCCTGGTTGTACTCACACATCCTGGTTGTACTCACACATCCTGGTTGTACTCACACATCCAGGTTGTACTCACACATTCTAGCTGTACTCACACATTCTAGTTGTACTCACACATCCTGGTTGTACTCACACATCCTGGTTGCACTCACACATCCTGGTTGTACTCACACATCCTGGTTGTACTCACACATTCTAGTTGTACTCACACATTCTAGTTGTACTCACACATTCTAGTTGTACTCACACATCCAGGTTGTACTCACACATCCAGGTTGTACTCACACATTCTAGTTGTACTCACACATTCTAGTTGTACTCACACATCCTGGTTGCACTCACACATCCTGGTTGTACTCACACATCCTGGTTGTACTCACACATTCTAGTTGTACTCACACATCCTGGTTGCACACACACATCCAGGTTGTACTCACACATCCAGGTTGTACTCACACATTCTAGTTGTACTCACACATTCTAGTTATACTCACACATCCTGGTTGCACTCACACATCCTGGTTGTACTCACACATCCTGGTTGTACTCACACATCCTGGTTGTACTCACACATTCTGGTTGTACTCACACATCCTGGTTGTACACCCAGACTAATGCTGTTTCACCTCTTCGTATTATCCTCCCGCTTGTATGGCTTTCTTCCTCTTAGCTTGCCTACTTGCAGCCTTCCCTCCAGTATCATTTCTATAAATGTTATATCTTTTAATATGAGAGATATAATTTAAAAAAAATTTTTTTAGTTTGTTCTTTGAGCAACTCTCTTATCATTCTAGGTCTCTCCAGAAATCTGTATTTGAGATGTTTCACTTAAATACAACATGTTTATCTGTACGTCAACATCTCCAGGGCCTGTATTTGCTTTTTTATTGTCCAGGTTGTTGCAGACATATAGTAGAGTGTTCACAATTTGTGCTTCATTGCCCAGGTTGTTGGCCACATATAGTAGAGTGTTCACAATTTGTGCTTCATTGCCCAGGTTGTCGGAGACATATAGTAGAGTGTTCACAATTTGTGCTTCATTGCCCAGGTTGTTGGAGACATATAGTAGAGTGTTCACAATTTGTGCTTCATTGCCCAGGTTGTTGGAGACATATAGTAGAGTGTTCACAATTTGTGCTTCATTGCCCAGGTTGTCGGAGACATATAGTAGAGTGTTCACAATTTGTGCTTCATTGCCCAGGTTGTCGGAGACATATTGTAGAGTGTTCACAATTTGTGCTTCATTGCCTAGGTTGTTGGAGACATATAGACATATAGTAGAGTGTTCACAATTTGTGCTTCATTGCCCAGGTTGTTGGCCACATATGGTAGAGTGTTCACAATTTGTGCTTCATTGCCCAGGGGTTGTCGGAGACATATAGTAGAGTGTTCACAATTTGTGCTTCATTGCCCAGGTTGTCGGAGACATATAGTAGAGTGTTCACAATTTGTGCTTCATTGCCCAGGTTGTTGGAGACATATTGTAGAGTGTTCACAATTTGTGCTTCATTGCCTAGGTTGTTGGAGACATATAGTAGAGTGTTCACAATTTGTGCTTCATTGCCCAGGTTGTTGGCCACATATGGTAGAGTGTTCACAATTTGTGCTTCATTTGCCCACGTTGTTGGCCACATATAGTAGAGTGTTCACAATGTGTGACTTCTCTTTTTATTTTTATGTTTTTAAAAGTGGGTTGATCTCTCTATATGTTAATATTTTCTCGCATGTTATTGCTGCTATTTTTTACCATTCATATTTTCTTTAATTCTGTTTATTCGATTATGTCATATATGTTAATGCATGACAGAAATAGGAGAAACTTGTTAGTTGTTACAGTATCAATTCCTTTACTGTAGTGTTCATTATTGATCTTTAACGATTAGTCGTTATATCTAATGCACATTCTGCGCAACGCCAATTTACTATCTCCATCAAATCTTGAAACTGTTTATTTTCTGCAGGTAAAATTGTGTCATCAGGTTAGAGAAATAATAGTCACTTGGATGAACATGGCAGTCATATTGTTTGTCTCTGTGACAAGGCCGTGCAACATGTCACCTTGATGGCTGTGTTTCTTTCTTCTTTCTTTCTGTTCACTGGCTGTGAATTTCAGGGGAAACCTGGTTATTCACCCATTTGTACTTTGTCTTTGTACCAGGCTCTGAGTTTTGCGTGCACATCCGTTTTACTGGCTTATTTGTGTGCGGTTCTTGTTTCCTGCCTCTCGGACAGATGTACTCCGACTCCGAAGAAGGACATGGTTCCTAACTGTAGGATGACTGTTGCCATTATTTTGTTGGAGATGATGTTGCCTCATTTGTGTGGTATCCTCTTTGTCACTTTGTCTACAGATGCTGCCCCTGGAGAATCCTTGTAGGGCACCCTCATGTAGACTGGTCAACCTTCAAGGCAAGGCAGGGGCAGATCAAGGCATTCCCCACTATCCAAGGAGGCTTCCATAATACAGAGCCGAACATGATGCTCTGGTCCTGAACTCACCCAAGGAATCGTCCTATCCTGCACATGACTGCTTAACCTCACAACCACATTTTGAGCTTTCCACTCGTCATCGGCTGTTGAATCTCCGGAGATCAGCAGTGAGCAGCCTGCAGGTCCAGGACTTTGCTGACCACACAAATATGTACATTCTTATTCTTCTTCATCACGTTAGACACCTTTGACATGGTTTGACATTAGCACGACAGTATGGAGAGGCATGCACCAGGCATGGGTTCCCTTGTTTGGTCCCAACACTCGGGCAAGTAGGGCCAGTAGATACGGGCATCTGAACCTTATTGCCAATTAGTAGAATTTGTAACGGTCTGACATTGAGACTTTGATTGTGTGCCATTTGAGCCTAACCAGTCGACTGACAGTGGCTGTCATGGTGTACCTCAACGCAGTGATGACGACGTTGAGGGATGACAGACGATGTATGAAGACAGGATTTTATAGTGAGAAAACACCCATAAGAGATGTTGCTCTTCTAAGCTGCAGGTAAATCTCTTGGTCTATGGCAGAATTTCCGCAGTTTAGTTTCCCTTTCACTTGACAGCCTTTTAACCGAGAGTTGTCATTTAGTGTTACATTCAGCAAGTGGATTTTCATTGTATTCTAAATGAGTTTCAATAGACGTTTTCACCCATGCATTGGGAGTGGGCTGATGAGAGTCAGATTAAACCCTACATCTCTAGGGGCCACCAGCTCTGAGATCCCCTGTCAGCTCTGTCAATGCTCATTTGAGACATGAACCAAGGATCACACCTGGTATGTCTGTGCTTTAAACCATCATGATGCACCAAGGACCACACCTGGCACAGCTAAACCTGAAACCATCATGATGCACCAAGGACCACACCTGGTACAGCTAAACCTGAAACCATCATGATGCACCAAGGACCACACCTGGTACAGCTTAAACCTGAAACCATCAAGATGCACCAAGGACCACACCTGGTACAGCTAAACCTGAAACCATCATGATGCACCAAGGACTACACCTGGTACAGCTAAACCTGAAACCATCATGATGCACCAAGGACCACACCTGGTACAGCTTAAACCTGAAACCATCAAGATGCACCAAGGACCACACCTGGTACAGCTTAAACCTGAAACCATCATGATGCACCAAGGACCACACCTGGTACAGCTAAACCTGAAACCATCATGATGCACCAAGGACCACACCTGGTACAGCTAAACCTGAAACCTTCATGATGCACCAAGGACCACACCTGGTACAGCTAAACCTGAAACCATCATGATGCACCAAGGACCACACCTGGCACAGCTAAACCTGAAACCATCATGATGCACCAAGGACCACACCTGGTACAGCTAAACCTGAAACCATCAAGATGCACCAAGGATCAACCCTGGTACAGCTAAACTTGAAACCATCAAGATGCACCAAAGACCAACCCTGGTACATCTAAACTTGAAACCATCATGATGCAACAAGGACCAAACCTGGTACAGCTAAACTTGAAACCATCATGATGCAACAAGGACCAAACCTGGTACAGCTAAACTTGAAACCATCATGATGCAACAAGGACCATACCTGGTACAGCTGAACTTGAAACCATCATGATGCAACAAGGACGACACCTGGTACATTTAAGCTTGAAACCATCATGATGCAACAAGGACCATTCCTGTTACAGCTAAGCTTAAAGCCATCTTGGTGCACCATAAACTACATTTGGTACAGCTGTGCTTCTGCTGCCGGCTGACAGTCAGAAAACCAAAGCTGAAAAATTGTTTCAGAAATTGTGCACACTTGCTAGGTGCCCACCTTCAGAATTGTAGCTTAGTAAAGCTCATTCAACAAATCATCGGAAGGCAGAGGGCTTCTGACAGGTTGAAAGGCAGAAAATGAGTTGCAAAATGTCCACAGACTAAAATATGCTGCCCCGATCACTAATCACATGTACTGCCTCCGAAGCTCTGAAGCTTCTGGGTACCAACAGCACTGTCTCTGGTGATAGCAGGGGTTTCTGACTAGTACATGTTGTACAGTGTGAATAGTTGCTGTTATTCTATGCTGATGTTTGTATGTGCTCAAAATTCAAGTGCTTACACTCATACATATGTGTGCATGCACAATAAAACAAGTGTCATAAGATCTCTACACGCATTAGTGCACCTTAAACACACTGCCAACTCATCTACAGGCATACAGAGACTTTCTGGTCTAATGGCCATTGCCCTTATTAACAGACAGATTTGATCCCATTGTCATGAATAAACAAAACAAACTAATCATTTGCCATGTTCAACAATAAATGGAAGTCAAAGAAACTTGGATTGAACAAGAGCATAATTTTAGGAAAACTACTATACAACAGTGTGTTGGAAAATGGCAGGGGGAATTATGCATAAACTAGAGTCTTTACAGAATAAATGCATAAGGAGAATCTGCAAAAATATGTACATGTGCTCTCAGATGCAGAATACTAACACACACACACACACACATATTCTTGTATTTCAGAACAGTGATGTGGCTGCTACAGACAGTGTTCAAATGTGGGTCAGCCAGTTGGCAGCTTTGACCAATCAAAAATCATCAGAAACAAACAGAATGGCAAAGTTGGAAAGTGAGTCAAACCAGATGTATTATTTGTCAGTTGGCCAATAGAATATGAGTTAAACTGAATTTGTTGTTTGTTAGTTGACCAGTGGAACATGAGTTAGACTGATTATTTTGTTATTTGGTAAGTATTGTGGAAATCTCAAACAGAGTTAGCCCCACCTATTTACACACTAGGTCACTTTTGATTGATAGTTCCTCAGGCCTGTCTTCTTTGCTGAAGGTTATGGGGTGTTCTGCGATACTGTTGATATCGTGCGTTCTATATTTCAGCATGTCAGCGCTTTTAATGCCCCAAAAACATGCAGGACTGGCCCTAACACAAACCCTACTACAAGAGTGCTGCAACCTATGTCACAGGCATTCTCTTTTTTGGAATGAAAACATAAATGGAAGACATCGCAGAAAGCTTTTTTAGCAAACAGTAGAGTAGGACACCCCTAACCTTCAGAAAAGTTTACCAGCCTAACAAACTGAATGAAAAGTGAGAGTGCATAAATAGGCTGGACTGACTCTGAAGAGATTTTCATATTGTCCATCTGTTAGTTGACCGATGAAATGCAAGATAGACTAAATGGTTTTTGTGTGTTGACCAGCAGAATGTAAGTTAGTGTGATTGTGTTATTTGTTAACAGGTGTTAGTTGATCAGTGGAATGTTAAGTCAGATATATTATTTGTTAGTTGACCAGTGGAATATGAGAGGATGAATGTGTGCTAGTTGACCAGTGGATTGTGAAATAGGGTGAATGTTTAGTGTGAATGTGTGCTAGTTGACCAGCGGAATGGGAGCTAGGGTAGATGTGTGTTAGTTGACTAGTGAAGTATGACTTAGGATGAATGTGTGTTAGTTGACCAGTGGAATGTCACTTAGAGTGAATGTGTGTTAGTTGACCAGTGGAATGGTAGTCTGGTAGTCTTAGTTTCAGCTTCATAGCAAACGGGTCACCCCATCTTTGCTCCGCTCCTGTGCCAACGAAAAACACACAGAATGTTTATCACAGTATTAGAATTGCAGTTCATCATTTATGGTAGCAGAAGTCGCCAACAGATCAGCAGTTGCCCACGCGATCAATTTTAATCACATACGGGCACCACAACACTGCACGACAGGCATCGCGCCATTTTCTGAATCTACAATTCACACCAACACGATGGTCACAGTCGAGAAAACATTCCAAATGCAATCCGCAGCTCACAGGGTCACGCCATGCATTCAACTCAGAAGCTGGGTGACGAAACTATATCCAGTCTACAAATGGAGCAAAAATGCATCGGCCACCGTCCGGCAGAAGCAAAAAATTTGCCTCTGTTTCGAACAGTGCCGCTGCCTAACGTCCATTTTGACCAGAAGTCTGACCAGTGGAATGTCAGTTAGAGGGAATGTGTGCTAGTTGAGCAGTGAAGTATGACTTAGGATGAATGTGTGTTAGTTGACCAGTTAAATGTGAGTTAGAGTGAATGTGTGTTAGTTGAGCAGTTAAATGTGAGTTAGAGTGAATGTGTGTTAGTTGACCAGTGAAGTATGACTTAGGATGAATGTGTGTTAGTTGAGCAGTTAAATGTGAGTTAGAGTGAATGTGTGTTAGTTGAGCAGTTAAATGTGAGTTAGAGTGAATGTGTGTTAGTTGAGCAGTTAAATGTGAGTTAGAGTGAATGTGTGTTAGTTGAGCAGTTAAATGTGAGTTAGAGTGAATGTGTGCTAGTTGAGCAGTTAAATGTGAGTTAGAGTGAATGTGTGTTAGTTGAGCAGTTAAATGTGAGTTAGAGTGAATGTGTGTTAGTTGAGCAGTGAAATGTGAGTTAGAGTGAATGTGTGCTAGTTGAGCAGTTAAATGTGAGTTAGAGTGAATGTGTGTTAGTTGAGCAGTTAAATGTGAGTTAGAGTGAATGTGTGTTAGTTGAGCAGTTAAATGTGAGTTAGAGTGAATGTGTGCTAGTTGAGCAGTTAAATGTGAGTTAGAGTGAATGTGTGTTAGTTGAGCAGTTAAATGTGAGTTAGAGTGAATGTGTGTTAGTTGAGCAGTGAAATGTGAGTTAGAGTGAATGTGTGCTAGTTGAGCAGTTAAATGTGAGTTAGAGTGAATATGTGTTAGTTGAGCAGTGAAGTATGACTTAGGATGAATGTGTGTTAGTTGAGCAGTGAAATGTGAGTTAGAGTGAATGTGTGCTAGTTGAGCAGTTAAATGTGAGTTAGAGTGAATGTGTGTTAGTTGAGCAGTGAAGTATGACTTAGGATGAATGTGTGTTAGTTGAGCAGTTAAATGTGAGTTAGGGTGAATGATTGCTACTTGACCAGTGGAGTATGATTTAGGGTGAATGTGTGTTAGTTTACCAGTGAAATATGAATTAGACTGAATGTGTTATTTGTTAGTAGATTTGTGTTGACCACCAGAATATTGTCTTGTCAGTGTAGAAGTCATATGTCACCTAAGGCATACACATTGGGGCCTGGACATAGAATTTAGCCACACTGGACCAGATTATTCTAACACTTGTTGCAACAAGCTGCAGGTAAAGGTCAGAGGCTGAAAAGGCTAAACTGGTGGATGGCTCAAGCAGAAGACACAATAATGCTGGAGAACATTGGGCAAGGAGAGGAGTGGGTCAGAGTACCAGGGAAAAAGTCTGACCAGTGTAGGGTTATGATCACATTGGGCCAGGATTGCACCTCAGTAGCAGTGGAGAGAATGAGGCACCTGGGTGTGACAAGCTCCCTACACTTAGAGGAAAGGCAAAACGGACATAAAACCAGATTGTGACTGGTAGAATTAGTGTTGGAACTCTGTGCTGGCTGCTGAAGATGGGGACGGAGTTCATATAGGAATGCCCCGAGTGCTGTGATGTAAATTCTTGACTCAACTCAGCTATTGTCTGGAGAGAATGGTACAGCTAGGAGTGACCAGGGGATCTGGTGGACACTTGACTAGAGGAAGGGCAAGACAGACATATAATCAAACTGCTGCTGGCAACATCAGAACTAGAACTCTGTACTGGCTGCTGAAAATGAAGACATAGCGGTTATTGGAATGTAATGTGATGTCAATTCTGAGTTCAAAACTCAACAGTCAAGTCAACAGATATCTTAAGAAGTCAGAGGTGATTGTGGAAAAGCTGTAAATATCACAGCTCTGCTGTAAACAAGCACAAAACAAATAATTGTGGATGAATGGAGAAGAATAATACATGCACTTGTGAATACATCTCATCATTTCCTAAATGTCAGATTCAGTGGGGTTACTTTCAGTAGATTAGTACTTGTAAAAATAATGAAATCATAAACAATCTGAGAACCCCATGGTACAGTGTGGAGACAGTTATGATGAGAAGATTACAGGTAATGGCATAATTGTGTGCGGACAGTTATGATGGGAAGATTACAGGTAATAGAATAAGTGTGTGCCGACAGTTATGATAGGAAGATTACAGGTAATGGAAAAAGTGTGTGCCGACAGTTATGATGGGAAGATTACAGGTAGTGGCAGGTAGTGGCATAAGTATATGCAGACAGTTATCATGGGAAGATTACAGGTAATGGCATGATTAAATGCAGTCAAATTCTACTCAATCCCAGAAGCTGTGCTCACTGGAGCAATAATTTGTAAAGCTACAACTTTAGATTTGGTCATATAGTTTTCCTAGGTTTGACACTTGACAACCCAGACCAACCAGATCAAAATATGTTAATGTCTGGTGAACAGACAAGTAACTTTTGGGGAAACAGGGTTGAAGTAACATTTGGGAAACAGGGTTGAAGTAACATTTGGGAAACAGGGTTGAAGTAACATTTGGCAAACAGGTTTGAAGTAACATTTGGGAAATAGGTTTGAAGTAACATTTGGGAAATAGGTTTGAAGTAACATTTGGGAAACAGGGTTGAAGTAACATTTGGGAAACAGGGTTGAAGTAACATTTGGGAAACAGGGTTGAAGTAACATTTGGGAAACAGGGTTGAAGTAACATTTGGGAAACAGGGTTGAAGTAACATTTGGGAAACAGGGTTGAAGTAACATTTGGGAAACAGGGTTGAAGTAACTTTTGGCAAACAGGGTTGAAGTAACATTTGGCAAACAGGGTTGAAGTAACATTTGGGAAACAGGGTTGAAGTAACATTTGGGAAACAGGGTTGAAGTAACATTTGGCAAACAAGACAGGGTTGAAGTAACATTTGGGAAACAGGGTTGAAGTAACATTTGGGAAACAAGACAGGGTTGAAGTAACATTGGGGAAACAGGGTTGAAGTAACATTTGGGAAACAGGGTTGAAGTAACATTTGGGACACAGGGTTGAAGTAACATTTGGGAAACAGGGTTGAAGTAACATTTGGGAAACAGGTTTGAAGTAACATTTAGGAAACAGGGTTGAAGTAACATTTGGCAAACAGGGTTGAAGTAACATTTGGCAAACAAGACAGTGTTGAAGTAACATTTGGGAAACAGGTTTGAAGTAACATTTAGGAAACAGGGTTGAAGTAACATTTGGGAAACAGGGTTGAAGTAACATTTGGCAAACAAGACAGGGTTGAAGTAACATTGGGGAAACAGGGTTGAAGTAACATTTGGGAAACAGGGTTGAAGTAACATTTGGGACACAGGGTTGAAGTAACATTTGGGAAACAGGGTTGGCTAATAGAGAATGGAAAAGCAAAATGTCAGCACTGAAATAAGGTCTATGAGACAAACAAGTAAATTATAAATGTTTATCAGAAATATCAAATCTGTATACAATTTGTTCCTGTAGTAATCCACATTTTCTTAAATATTTCCAGCTGATGCTTCTCTTTTGAAGAAACCACCACAAGGCATCAGCAGAAAGCGACCAGGCACTGGCAGGAAGCTTCCCACAATACCTGCAGACAAAAGTCCAGTGAGCAGTGAACACGGCTCAATGACTGCAGATTTGGATAATGATGTGACTTTCAGAAGGACGCCAGACCGTGTGGTCAGTGGCCGGAACAGCGCTGACAGTAATTATAACATGGGGACAAATTCTAGTCAGTCTCACACAAGGACTGTCACTAATGGGCATCCAGTGAGTCCGAGTTCATTGGCTTGTACAGGCAGTGTAGATACCGAGGTGCTTCTTCAGGACACTGAAACTGTCATGGCTGCTATTCAGGCACGGCTCTCTCACAAAACTAGCCATGGTAGAAACCATTCTTACAGCCGTGACTGTGATAGTGATGCCTCAAGTACAGTGGCTTTAGTCAATGGCGAAGAGAATAATGTCAGATCAGCACTGTACAAAAGTCCTCGTGAGGCACTTGCACAGATACAAAGAAATGGTTCCACAGTGAAATCTGGTAACACCCCCTCCACTACACCAGTGTCTTCTGGGAAAAAACCTGTGATACGATCAAGTGCTCAAACCATGGTCTCTAAGACCATTGCTTCTCCTAGAAGCACTCCTTCAACCACTGCCACAAGGAAGTCCCTCGTGTCTGATATAGTCAGCAGGCGAGACAGCATGGATAATGACAGCATTATTTCTGATGTTAGCTCGGACGCAGGTGATGTCTTTGCTAGGTCATCCTCTAAAGGTAAGGCGCCAATAACTATGACCAGAACAAACAAAACCTTTGACCTTCGGCGTGCCAGAGTTGACAGTTTCGAAGAACAGACTGCTCCCAGATCTGCTAAATCTTCAGCTACATCAAAGTCTGGTATGGGCAATTCATTTGGTAGATCTCAAAGTCTCCATAGTACCACCAGAAGTAGATCTTTGGTGAATACGAGTCGCAGTGAGGCAACCAGCCTTGGGGCTCAGATCGTCAAGAAAAGTCAGAGCAATATTGCTCAGGACACTGTACGAAAAGCTAGAAACACTTCCATTGGTCGAGCTGAAAATGGAAGACACAACCAGGGTAAAAAACTTCAGCATTCCATTTCTGCTATAGCTTCTCATCCTGCTGCTAGTAACTCGCACACTAAGAGGGATTCGACCCCAAAGTCTCAGTCAAGATCGACACCAACCAACAAAGGAAATCTAGCAATCACAGGGGTCAGTAGTGTATCTAGTCACAGCCAGTCCCAGCCCAGCAGCAGGTCCAACTCTCCAAAAGCAGCAGAGAAGATGGCCTGGAAACGGCGAAAGGAGTATGATGCCAGAAAATCAGTGGCAGATGCCAAGGCTGGCAAAACCAAAGAAGGGGTCAGCACAAAATCAAAATCATCAGCCAGTTCTGATATTAAAATGAGGATGATCCGGTCAGCGTCTTTCACAAACTCTGCAGGTTTATCCTTGGGTATCCAAAACTCTGTATCCGGTTCTCAGGAATTCTCAGACCAAATGGATTCATATAGCAAGCATGAAGATTTTCGTAGAGCCTTCATTCCATTTCACAGCTCCCTTCGCAGTGATCGCTACACACACAGTGCTGATGAAGATGACAGCCTGGTCTCTACAAACTCCACACAGGTATGTATTTCCACAAGCAAGCTTTCATTGTTACTTGTTATTTTTGTCTGTCTGATGATTGTTGCCTGAATTTTGCATGAATTCAACAAACTAATATGCACTGTAAACACAATATTTCAATTTATCTACTGCAGTTAATAATTTAATTCAGTCCAGTCAAATTTAAATTATTCCAGTAAATGTAAATTTATGCAAGTAAATCTATCAATTCAAACATTACCAATGCTAAAATCAGTGAACCAAAAATGTAATATAATAAGCAACACCAAATGCCTCAAAATATCAGACAGAAGATTGGAAAGACCAAACTGCCAGCATCTGTTGCAGATGATGTACCTGATGGAGAAGCCAGTTTGAACAGATCAGGTTAAAGCATATATTCATTATCCTCCTCAAGTCCCATTGAAGGTCAGCTGTAATAAGACTATACCTGCTGGTTCTTCTCTGACCATACTATACCTGCTGGTTCTTCTCTGACCATACTATACCTGCTGGTTCTTCTCTTACCATACTACACCTCTTATTAAATTAATTATTAATTTATATAGTCACATTTTAAAATGTAACCACCAGATTATTTATTCTTTGTTCAGTGTTATGCACAATGCAACCATTGAGGGACAGTTGAACATTCTTAGTTTTATATCAGAATGTAATTGTTTCAGTGTCAGTATCTGTATGGCCAGTATTCTGTTTTTATTTATTACTAGCTGTACCCGGCCACGCGTTGCTGTGGCATAGTTTGGCTGAATTGAAAAGAAAGAAAATAGAAATCTTGCTTCGTACATCGAAGTAGTCGGAAAAATTACCCAAGTGAAAAGCTATGAAAACAGGAAAAATACACAATAATTACGAAATGATTGCTATGGTAAACTGTACCAAGCACGTGTTGCTACGCCTCTAATAGAAATTCAATTGAAAGGAAAGTCGATATAACAATATGTAGTATTTATTTTGGATCATTGTGCTGTTTACAAATCCTTAGGAAAAAACAGGCAATTTAAAATGTAATTGTTCTTAGTTTTTCCGCCTGGTGCGTACACGAATAAGTAGGTTTTCCGACGCTTGAACAGGCCACATATGGCAGTCCATGTGAAAAGCATGGATGTTCCAAATGTAGTCCACACAATTGTTCTGACTGTCCCTGTGATTTGTTGATGGTCATTGCTAAGGTGAGTCGCACCAGAAACTGCAAGCATCTGAAGTTGAATGGCATGTCTGTTGGAATTGCGTTGCAATAGTATATCCTGGCCCTTAAATGTTCATGTAAAATTGTACTTACGATGATATTGGGCACCATCTTTTTCACTGAAAGCCTGCTACCACTGCAAAGATGTGGCAGATTGATGTTTCTGAGAAGAATAACAGGCACGCCAACTTTCAAGGTTAAAACATGGGGTGGCATGCCTGGCAAATAAAGCGAATTAAAGAACTCAGTTGGATAATTGACAACCTCGTAGCTACCAACTTCTGCTACCAACATTAACGCTTTTTCCTAGCTGTACCCGGCCACGCGTTGCTGTGGCGTAATTTGGCAACATGGAAAATAGAGACTTTCAAGTTTAAAACATGGAGGGCATGCCTGGCAAATAAAGCGAATTAAAGAACTCAGTTGGATAATTGACAACCTCGTAGCTACCAACTTCTGCTACCAACATTAACGCTTTTTCCTAGCTGTACCCGGCCACGCCTTGCTGTGGCGTAATTTGGCTACATGGAAAATAGAGAACATAGAAATGTGTCTTCGCTTCACGCTGGCGATGTACAGAGCAACAGCTAAACCACAGCTAATACAACTTTGAGTGGGTAAGGCAGTTACTGTAACTTAAATCTATCTCAGTAAACAGTTTATTGTAACCACCCATCCCCCAGTTCACATACTACTTTCTCCTTCATCGAAGCAGTTGGAAAAATTACCCTAGTGAAAAGCAATGAAAAGAGGAAAAATAAACCATATTTACAAAATGATCACATTTGCTAATTGTTGTAAACAACCCTGCACGCGTTGCTACAATAGAAAGTGAATTGAAAGGAAAATCGCTTTTACAAAATGTAATGATATTGGATCATTGTGCCGGTAATTTAACATTAAAAATGTGTTTACTGAAGTGCTTTTGGGTAAACAATGTTCTTTGTTCTTCCGTCTGGTGCGTACACAAATAAATTAGAAGGTTTTTCTGACGCGTGAACAGGCCACATATAGCTGCCCATGTAAAAAGCATGGATGTTCCAAACGTAGTCCACACACTTGTAGGGATTGTCCCTGTGATTTGTTTATGGTCATTGCAAAGGCGAGTCGCACCGGAAACTGCAAGCGTCTGAAGTCAAATGGCATGTCTGTTGGAATCATTGGGATGCGTGGCAAAAGTATATTCTTGCCCTTACATTTCCCATTTAAAATTGTACCTTCGATGATATTGAGCATCAGCCTTTTCACTGAAAGCCTGGTACCATTGCAAAGACGTGGCGGATTGATGATTCTGAGAAGAATGATGGGCTCGCCAATTTTCACGGTTACAATGTGGGGTGGCATGCCTGGCAAATCAAGTGAATTTAAGAACTCAGTTGGATAATTAACAATTTCGTCCTGATTCATTACAGTTGCGATAGACTTATACGTTGTCACACCGCCTGGTAATTTGTCTTAGATGTTCGGATTCATGGCAACTCACGATCGAAAAGGTTGTTTGCAGATTGTTCTGGTGGAGCCAGTCCCACCTGAACCAGTGCTTTGTTAGTTATTGTCAAACATATGTCCTTAATGCAAACAAATGCCTCATTATATACATTTGGTATTAATTGAAGGTCCTGATCATGCTTCGTTTTACGCCAGGATGTCTTCACTCATGTAGTCTTTGTATTTTTCGGAAAGCTCTTTTGGAATGAATGGGAAGCAAGTTGTTAATATTATTGCAAATAATGTGCGTATTTGCTGTGGTCGAGCAGTATTCGAAGCATCAGCGAGTGAAGTGTCCCAATGTGCATGATTTTCAAGAAGATTTAATTCTTGGCAACCTTCACGGTAAGTAGCGAATACTTTACCATAAACTGTTCTCAAGTCCTGGAAGGATGCCGGTCCCCGTTTGTTGATTAAAAGTAATCGCAAGTAAAAGCAATCTGCATTTTTTGGGATGAACAGTGTACACACGGCCTAAAATATCAGTAGAATATAAATTAAGATGTCCGTCAACCGCTTGACCTTGCTTGCAACGTTGAAACTTTTAGCTGATGCATTCCATGTGTAGTATATTGGCAGGTGAGAGTAAAGCAGTGTCTTTGCAAACATATCTCTACACAATGAGAAAAATCAGTTAACGTGGTTGGCGGTGGTAACAATGCTCGTGCATGTGCATTCTCTGTAGTGAAGTACACGCGCTGTCCATTGTCAAGGTGCACTGCTAAATGAAAAACTGCTGGATGTCATTCATGAATTGGAAATGAGAAAATGCGCCATACCGCTTCATTGCTACTAATGTAGCGCCCCAGCTGATATTGCTTGATTTCATCGATAGATGCAGCTGCATGTCCCACTCCAAAGACTGCCATATCGCCTCCTTTGTTGACATATTTGCAAATGTACTTATGTTTGCCAAGAAATGTGTCGACTGGCCTGTGTCACCTACTACCAATGATGATAATGGTTCGGGTGGTGAATGTAATACTGGCCATTTAACTTTTCCACCAGCGCAGCACATACCCGACATGTCATTCTTAAATTTGAAGGCACTGCAATGTACGCACAATTTATCCATTTTGCCAATAAGCGAGAGTGGATGAAGACCAATCATAATTGCTGGTGTAATGGAATGCACCAAGATTCAAATCAACATGCAGTGTTTGCCTGGATAAAGTAGTGCGCATTTGAACGTTTTCGAGTCTTGCTTTCCGTTGCTGGTCTGATTGAGATGATTGGGCTTCAGCAGTGCGCACTCGAATGGTTTCCAGTCTGTTTTTGAAGCAATTAATGCCCTCCTCTTGCGTGTTTTAGGTGTAGATGAGCGCTGATCATCAGTAGCTTGTTCATCCTCATGATAAAAGTTGACTTGAAGTATCGCTGAAATAAATGAAAATATGAGCATGAGATAACAATCTATTTTGACTCAAGAGGAAATGCATAGAAACTGGGCAGCAAATAGTAAGAAAAGGCGGTATATAAGACAATATGAAAAAGCCAACAGATAATGTGCATACATTTATCATTGTGGGATTTAAGGAGTGGTCCACACATGTATTGTCTTCCCCACAATGGGACCCCGGAACCCACACGGGGAATAATGACAATGTGTATATATTTATCAATGCGGGATTTAAGAAGTGGTGCACACTTGTTTGAAGTAAACAAAAAACATGTACATACTGGTTTGCAGTCAATCTCACCTCACGTTGCTCGTCTGTTTCTTACGACATGCACGATAATAGTTAATGATAATGTGTATACATTTATCATTGCGGGATTTAAGAAGTGGTCCACATTTGTTTAAAATTAAACAAAAAACATGTACATACTGACTAATGTTACTTAAATAAATGCTCTTACCTTTTTATATATTTCTTGATAACCGATAGCCATTTTCCTTGCGGGCGGATGTTGACGAAAGAGCCTCACTACTGCGCATTCACGATAAATCGACCCCACGTAACGTGGCTATAATTAGAAATCACTAAAGTTATAAATATTAGTTGTGTATATTTTGGCATAGATTGTGGTCACCTATCTCTAACAGTGACAGGTTGAATTTCAAACCACGACAGTTCAAAATCCGGTATCACAACAAACATATCCTGAAAATTTCAGCTAAATCGGTTCAGTAGTTTCCGAGTCTATAGGGAGCAAACAAACACACAAACATTGATTTTTATATATATAGATTGTTTCCTTCACTCCTCTCATTAAATGTTACCAATTGTTATCTTCTTCTTCCTGTTATTTCCCAATGAGCTTCTATCCTCATCCAGCTCATGCTAGGAATATGTCTATGTTAGGAATATGTCTGCATTAA